TGACCCCTTCTACCTATCCACAGTTTCTTCCACTTCTCCCCTTCTTGACCTGTGGCTCCCATCACATTGGTTTTCACATTGTTCCTTAGGTGCTTTTCTGCCCTCACATTCAGGACATTAGCAGTGCTGAGAAAGCCTGTTCTACCACTATGAAAACTTCTCTTCAAGGCATAAATAATGCCTCCCTGTAACTAGGAGGTCTAATCAAATCAGAGTTTTGTAATTTTCCTCTTCTCTAGTTTGAGAAGTACCAAAGATTTGATATTTGTTTAGGATGAATCCTGAAAACCTTTCCAATCTCCACATTCTGGAACTCTTGCAGGCATAAATCACCTTTATGAGTATTTGATAAGGTGATCAAAAAGGACTGTTAAGATGTGTGTCCTGGACAGTTAGCAGGACTTATTAAACTCAGTTTCAAACAGAAATAGAGATCATAAATTTGATTATAAAACCTGATGAGAACTTTATGAGAAAGACGATAATAGACTAATCTCTCTCATGAACCTGTACGCAAAAATCATAAGCAAAAATTCAGAGATCTATAAAATGAATTTTAAAAAGGATATGATATATCATACAGCTGGAGTTTATTCAAAATGTGCCATTAGGTTAACATTTAAAAATCAGCCAGAATGGTGGCACACAACTATAATATCAGTACTCAGAAGACTGAGGCAGGAGGTTTGTTGCAATTTGAGACAAGCCTGGGCTAGATAGCGAGTTCAAGGCCAGCCTGAACTACATAGTGAGACCCTGTTTCAAATAAACCAAAAAACAAAGCAAAACAAAATCAATTGATGTAATTTACTAAATAGAAAAAAAAAGAAAGATAAAGAGATCATCTCAATACAGAGACAAAATTATTTAACACTTATCCTGGTTTTTAAAAATTAAGAAAACGAGCTAAAAGAAATCTCTTAATCTGATTTTATAAAATCTTCAAAAGCCTACAGAAACATCATACTACATGGTGAGATGTTGAAAACTTCTCCCAAGAACTAGTGACAATTAGGCTGATTATTATTACTTCTACTCAACATTATACTAGACCTATCCAGAGCATTATAGTAGAAGAGAAACAAAAGCAGAAAGGAATGTAAGAAAATAAAAAGCAAAAAATAATATATTATCATTATTTGCTGAAAACAAATTATATACATAAAATTTTTTTTAAAAATCTATAAACTATTAGATTCAATAAATTAAAGCAAGATTGCAGGATACAATATCAATACTGAAAAATAAATTGCATATCCATATACCAGCAACAAATAAGAGATAAACAAAAACCAAAAGAAGTTATTTATACTAGTATAAAGTAATATCAAATATGTAATAACAAATCCAACAAAATATATGCAAGATCTCTACACAGAAAACTATAAAACATCATTGAAAAATTTTAAAGAAAACCCAAGTGGAGAAATTGATCATATTCTTAGATCAGAACACTCAATCTTATAAAGATTTCACTACTTAACTGACTTATAAATTTAATACAATCCCAACCTCAATCTCAGCACTGTTGTCCCCTAGAAACTGACAAGCTGTTCCTAAAATATACATGGAAAAAATAGCCTATGCAACTTTGAAGAATAAGCCAGAGGACTTACACTTCAGATACCACAGCCTTTTATAACACTGAAATACTTAAGCCCTACCCATTGGCAAAGGATACACAAAATGAACTGTGGAACTGAGTAAAAGTCCAGAAATAGACCCACACATGTCTGTCACCTGCTTCGTAACAGAGACAACACTGAAGGTCAGTAAGGAAACAATAGTGTTGTAGTAACTGGTGCTGGGTCAAGTGAATATCCATATGAGAAATTGTGTACCTTTATGCCTTTTTTATTCCATATAGAAAATCAATTTTATACAAATTATAAATTTAAATATGATAGGTAAACATTAAGACTTTCAAAGGCAAACATCACTGTGATCTTGGAATAGGCAAAGATTTCCAAACAGAACACAGAAAGCCCTAATTGTAAAAGGGAAAATAATAAATCAGCTATATCAAAATTATAAACTTTTACTTATTAAGAGACAGGATTAAGAGAGTTAAAAGACATCCCCTAAAGTGGGATTAAATAACTGAGATATACATATTATATTACAGTATTATTGGATACACAGTATCCAAAATGAAAAACTTCTACAAATCAGTAAGAAAAAGTAAGCTCAAGCTTTCATACACTGCTGGTAGGAATGTAAATTGATATAAACATCAAAAAATTGATTGGCAGTATCTACTATGACCCAGCAATTCTGTTTCTAGGTTCTAGGTGTATATTTCCAATAGAAATGTGTTCCTTTTTAAAAAATCTGTATGCTGGTTACAAGAGATGGGTTCATTTGGTGAAAACTTCATTGGGCAGCATTCTTGGGGCTTGGGTACTTTTCTATATTTATAATATGGTTCAATAAAATTATTTTTTAATTTTAATTTTTATTAGAACATGTTCGCAGTACAAAATGATGACATTCATTGTGCAGAGTTGATACATGTTCATAGCACATTTTAATTCTTTTTACATCCCCTTCCCTCTCCTACCTTCCCTTTCCCCCTTCTCTTGGTCCCCTTCTCTACTGCAAAAGAATGAAATTATTTTTAAAGGAATAGCCATACAACATATTAATTTATATTTATTGGTCAGCAAAATTACAAATTATAACTTGTGTTTCTTGTTCTTGAAATTCAGGTCTCTTGAGAGCTGAAGTCAGGCTAATAAATTGAAAACCTTTATTGGACTTATTGCCTAAGAGAGAATGGTTCTCTCGTCAGTTGTAGTGATAGAATACCTGGAATTGAAAGGCAGCTCTACCATTTGCTGTGTGACATTGGGCAAATTATTTAACCTTTTTGTAACTGTTTCTTTGTCTGTAAAACAGAGAAACTAATAGTGCCATCTATCTTAGAGGGCTGCTATAGCTCTTCTGCAGAAGGCTTAGTGCAGTTTCTGGCACACTGTAAACGTTCACTAAGTGTTCACTATTTTTCTTAACATTAATGTTTGCTTAACAAATATTATCACTTTGCAAGATACAGAGTTGGTTTCCACAGAGATGGAAGAACTGAAGAAAATAAAATGATACATCCCGCAGATATAAAGCCCTGGACAGCAGGCCCTAGGGCAATGACCCACACATGCCATATGGTTGGTAAATGTTAGTTACTGCTGTTGCTGTGATGGCTTTGAGGATCAAGGATTGTACTTCCATTTAATTTATATCTGGATACTAGTAGGTGGGAGGACTTAATATTCAATATGGAGGTTTGATTTGAGTGCTAGCATTATGACTTCTATCTAGATGTTCCCCAAAGCCCTTTGGGGTCATAGATGGAGCTTTTCAGAGGTGGCTGATCTAGAGTCTGTGATGCTGGGATGAACAATGTGATTCTGGGATTGATTCCTGATGCAATCCTAGGATTAAGGGTGCCCCCCACCTGGGTGTGAATAGCCTGGATACAATATAAAGGACAGAAAGAGGGCTGCTGCTGTCGCTTGCTGCTTGCTGCCTTCTGCCTTCTGCCTGGCTGCTCTGCAATGCCCCTCTGCCATACCACCCTGCCTTGGAGCCAGCCAAGTATGAACAGAAACCTCTACAAATTGTGGGCTACAATAAACCTTTCCTCCTTTAACTTTGAGTGTGGGGTATTTTGCCTCAGCAATGAGAAAGGTAACTAAAACAGCTAGAAAGAACTTTAATGGTAAAAGGTCATGAATGTAGCGATGGGAACCTGGATGGTCAATAAAAAGATAAAATAATGTGGGCATACAGTCTGTAGGAGTAGCATGGTGTTCACTGTCCACAAGAACAGAGATAATGAAATAAAGAGTTGGGTGTAAGAACTAAGCCAGGCATCGTGGTGAATACCTGTAATCCCAGCACTCCAGAGGCTGAGGCAAGACTGCCATGAGTTCAAGGCCAGCCAGGGCTACATAGTGAGTTCAAGGTCAGCCTGAACTACATACTGAGACCCTGTCTCAAACCACACACACACACACACACACACACACACACACACAGTAAAAAAGCAATGTGTAAGAAGAAAACAATTCATATGCCATCTCAGATTTTAAAAATTCATCATGTGGACGGGGGATTTAGCTCAGTGGTTCTGTCGCCTGCCCTACAAGGACCCGAGTTCAATCCCCAGTACCAAAAAGAAAGAAAAGAAAAATTCATCATGAAACAAAATTTTAGATGATCATAAATACTTTGACAATACAGGTTTTCTTTTTCCTAAGGAAAGGAAGATATCCTTTAAAATGTATAATTTATATGTTTAGTCAAAGGCTGTTCAAACCTCAAATGTCCAGGTTCTATTAACTCCCCTCTTTAGGATATAATCCCACTCACCAAAACTAACCAAAACTTAGTTTCCTTTGAATGTACTATTGCTATGGTTCTAAAAATTTGGAAAGTCCTCCAAGTTAATTTTTGAGAAGTGAAAATTGACTGGCAGCTTCATAGATACACCCCCTCATCCCCTCTCAACCAACTAAAAGACCCTAAGGCTCTTCTGCGATGCTGTTAGTGTGCTGGGACTATTATTATTCATGCTTATGCTGAGCTTCTGAAAAGTTCACAAAATGAAAATCAGCCGTTGAATAATCGATGTCACAAGAAAAGGAATGCCTTCCTTCTAATACTGGCTTATTACAGGTTGAATCCACAAGACTCAGAGCCTCTGAGGTATTGTAGGCGGCAGGAGGAAGCCTCCTGCAGGTAAATATCAGTCTGTTCCTCCTACTCGCCCTATAACCTGGGAAGATAAAGTTGGAATCCTTTCCCTGGACCCGCAGAGATAGCGGACCGCACCGCCTCCAGATCCCGCCCCTCCTCTGGCCCCGCCCACAGATGCTAGGAGCTCCGCCACCAGGACCGCAGAGACCAGGGGCGGGGCGGGGCTCACCCCTTGCCCTCGGGGTCTTCCGGGCTCCACCAATCAGCGAGCGCCCTGTTGGCTGTCCGCAGCCTTCTGCGCCCCTCCCTCTCCCGCCGGTCTCCGCGCTTGCAGTCCAAGATGGCGGGATCCAGGGGAAGTGGACCCCAGGCCAGACTTCGGCAACTTTCCTGCAGCCTGCTTCTGCTGCTCAGTCACTTCGTCGGGGGCGATGGCACGGGAGGTGACCCCGCGGCCGCTGGCTCCCCGGGCACCCTGGCCACTGTGCTACATCGCCGTTTCGAGTACAAATACAGCTTCAAGGGGCCGCACCTGGTGCAGAGCGATGGGAACGTGCCCTTCTGGGCCCACGCGGGGAGTAAGCCGGGGTAGGGGGCGGGGGGCCTGGGTCCCTTCCCGCCTCTGCCGTCTTTCATCTTCTCTCTGGTGGGCTGAGGACCCTTTACAGCCGCTGCACACCATATGTACTGTGGCGGGAACTCTGGGCAGCTCCTCCTCTCGGTCCCTATGGCCCACAAGTTCCCCGGCCTGACCCTGAGAGTTTCTACCCGATCTGCCCCTCCTCCTCCTCCTACTGTCTGTACTTTGCATTTGATCTAGGGTATTTTGCTACTTCCTGTACTTCCCAGCACCCCGCTCGCTTCTAGGTGTCACATTTCATCCTGATGCCACGTCTCTAGGGGACACATTCACCAGCCATCCCAACCTGAGACCTATTCCAGCAGCCTCCTTTCTCCTGCTTTCTTTTTTCCAGTGTTAGCGATGATTAATGGTCAGGTTTGTACCCGATACGAAGGCCTCGGAGATGGCACAAATTGGTCTTAGAGTAATTTTTAAATCTTTATATATCAGAAGACATTCCTTTTGGCTCTCGGAACTACAATACACCTTTTCAAAAGCCTCTCAGAGACTTGGCTTGGTCTTTGATCTTTACATTACGTAACTTTATAGTCACACTCATGCTTATATTTAGTAGAGGGATATGGTTTTTGGTATTTCTGAATTTGAGTCCAAGAACAGCATTATACAATATCTTTTTTAAGAAACAGTTTTCAAAAAATCGAAATAATTTCTGCTTCAAGTTTTATTCATTCTGTGTTTGGCACTCTTAAAGATAACCTTGCTAGAGCATTTGTGTTTGTGAAAGCAAAGGTATCTGCCCCTTTTAGTACTGATGTGTCACTGCTGACTAAGGAATCAGCCACAGGACTTGCATGTCATGAACTCTGTTCAGTGACCATCAGATACACCCTTTAAACCAAGTGGCAGATGCCTTTCTATGACATGAGAAGTTCTAGCAATTTGAATTCCATCTTTGTGTATGATTAAGCAGTCATTTAAAGTTTATATACAATCATTTTAGATTGTCCACTGTTCAACAAAATGTTTTATTTCTAGAAAGTAATTCCTAGATAGGAAGCACACTTTCATGAAGGGCCATTTCCCTCAAATTGATGTGTAATTATAAGGTGCAAATTTCAATTTGATCTAATGGCTTAAGCCATTAAGTATTTGAAGCAGACTGTAATTATGTTGTTACTCAGTAGTCATTTGTTATGAGCCTGCTAGGCATTTCTTATCAAGATGATGTTCTTAATACACAAAGATGATACAAATGATAACCAAGCACGAATTTTTGTCTCTTACTGTTTTTTTATTTCTCTTTGGAATGATGATAAATTTTCCAGTAGTGATGATGAATTTGTTCACTTTTTCATTCACATTTTTTCACTTTTTCACTGTTTCTTTCTCACACTCATTCATACATCAGGAAATTAGGAATGTTTATGAACTACCAACTTACCTTGACTTTGTTTATAGAGCCACAACGAACTAATCTAGTCTTGTTGAAAAAAAAAAAAAACTGCCTTAGTGAATTTGAGCTGTAGGGCTAGACTGAATTTGAAATAAAGAAATTAGTATTTTAGCCATGACTTATCTGTTGAGCCTGAAAATCACTGCTATGGGTATCCGTTGCTTATGTTACAGTCTCATTGTTCTCTTAATGCTGCTGTTCTTTTTTTCTCTCTCTCTTTTCATTTAGCACCACAATCTATTATTTAAAACAAACAAACAAAAATAGAGAAATACAAGATCTAGTTTAAACACAGCCCTTTGCTTTCAGTCCAAATTTAGATAAATTAGAAAAATTAGATAAATTTAGATAAAATCTGTGGTGTTTTATTAACCTAATCTAATGTCCTGTTGTACTATCAGCACACCTGCTTAGGTCCACAAGGGTAAAAAAATAATAATTTGTAATGTTATAGCTCTTAAAGCTCTTTCAGGTTTATTCTCCAATTTGATCCTTAGTAGGCAAGGTGAGTGTTATCTGTTTTATAGATGGAAAAACTGATGTTTACAAAGTTTAAGGTTCTTGGGAAGAATTACATAGTTCATATCAAAACAGTTGAACTCAAACTCAGGTCTTTTGGTTCTCTGTCCAGTGTTCTTTCCATGCTTTCCCTGCAACATTTTTTGAAAGTGATGATGATGGTGAGTGACCATACTGAAGTATCTCAACTTTTCTTTTTGTCCATTTTTTTTACCTGTAGAATGATTTTATAGCTGTTTTATTTTTATTTCTCAGCATAAATATCAGAATAGTTAATATCTGAGGGAGTATGCTAGAATTATTCAAATTTCAGGCCTATATAATAGGTGCTTTAATAATTATCTAATGTAATAATTATTAAAACATTTATAAACATACCTTTTGAAAATTATGCCTCCATTTATTGCAGTTCCAGATACTGATTTTTTTTTTTAAACAAAGTGAAGGTTTGTGACAACCTTGTGTCCCAAACATGTATTGGCACTGATTTTCAACAGCTCTGATGATTGTCAGCTAGCAGTAAAATATTTTTTAAATTAAGATATGTACATTGGTTTTTTTAGAAAAGAAAGGATGCTCTTTTATATTCAGACTACAGTATAGTGTAAATGTAACTTTCACATACACTGGGAAACCAAAACCAGCAGTATCTCCAAGATGTGCCACATATGCACTTATATAAGCACTTGTATACTTATGAAATTCTTAGAGAATTGCAATAACTTGTCTGAAACCAAACAGCTAATAAGTGGCAGAGCTGGGAGTTAAAAACAGCCTGGAGATTAAATCCATTATTTTGGAGATAAGTGTTTTTGCTGACAGTCTGCCAGTGCTGAAAAACTCCTTGTTGAAATTAATTTGGCCCTGTCCCTAGAAAAATGTATATGCGGAATACTGTGCATATAACTTTTGGGGTGTTTGTAAAAGTAATGAAGCCCAGCCCGTTCATTTTACAGGTGAACATATGGTGAATCCAACAGAGTAAGAGAATTATTTGTTCAAAGTCACAGCTGAACTGAGACTAGGAACAAGTCTCTTGATTCCTAGTGGTATGTTCTTTTCACAATGTTTGAAAACTTTCTAACATTTGTAAACTGATAAAATACAAAGTTTTTTAAAAAAAATAGTATGCAAATATTTGAGGTATTTATAAGAGATATTGTGAGAATCAAATAGTTTGCCTTTGAAGTCATAATTTCTTTTCTCCTTTCCTCTGGAATTTTTAGTGTATGGTTATAAATTTATTTTTGAATTTAAAATATTTTTTCAGAGATATTCTACTGTTTAGAGGAAGCATTAGCCCAAAAATTTCAAAGTTAACATTGTTAACATGTCAACATGAAATTATTTTCTAATGTAAGTATTGTATAGATTATTAAGTTAAAATTTGATCTTTATAGGTATGTGTAGCAGTTTGGTGATGATGTGTGGAATTTTTTCCTAATTATAACTTCAAGCTTTTCTTCACAATGTCTGTTGTAGATGCTATTCCAAGTTCAGATCAAATTCGAATAGCACCATCTTTGAAAAGCCAAAGAGGATCAGTGTGGACGAAGGCAAAAGCGGCCTTTGAAAACTGGGAAGTTGAGGTGACATTCCGAGTGACTGGAAGAGGTCGAATTGGAGCTGATGGCTTGGTATGATCGTTTTTTCTACTTATAAAATGAATATAAATGTACATACCACTAGCCTCTAACTCTTCCCTGTTACGTATTTTCAGGCAATATGGTATACAGAAAATCAAGGCTTGGAGGGTCCTGTGTTTGGATCAGCTGATATGTGGAATGGTGTTGGAATATTTTTTGATTCTTTTGACAATGATGGAAAGGTATATTTGTTAGAACTGTTATCCACTTTAATACGCCTGCAAGCAAAGTTAGGCTGTGAGAAATAAGGCTTTATTTGATGCTTTCATGAGTTTAGTAATGGAGAACTCTTCATGTGATACTTTTTTTTTTGGTACTGGGGATCAAACTCAGGACCTTGTGCTTGCAAGGCAGGCGCGGTGCCACTGAGCTTAAATCCCCGACCTTTCATATGATACTTTTAGTATGGTTAGTCTATGTGCAGCAGGATATTTAGCAACTAAGAGCTATGCAGACATAGCATGGATTTTTCACCTTAAAACTGTAATGAAACCCTAACTTTGCAGTGACTCCCCGTAGTTCTGTGTATGCATGGTAATTATGATATATGAGTCTAGTTATGGGCAGTGAAACCAATAGTATTTAGAAGACTGACAGTTTGCTTTCATGACTGTATTCAAGTGCATGTTCATGTATTTACTCTTTGTATGTTTACCACTCTTCTTGATCAAGCCAGATTTTCTGATGATCTGTTCCAATGTAATTAATGAATAATGTGCTTACATATTAGAAACATTAACTTGTAGTTTAGCAACCTTAAGATGTTCTTCCCTGTGGCTGGTTGTTTCTGTACTGATTTTCAATGGTCACTATTAGCAATTTAGTGACCATTTAATAACTCCTTGAATTCCAAGGGTATGTTATTTTAAAATTGTGAGTCCTGAATACTTAGAGTACAAGAGACCTCACTGCACATAAAGAATAATCTAGAATTTTTGATTGCAGACTTTAAAACAAATATATTCTCCTTATTTTTAGAAAAATAATCCTGCTGTAGTAATTATAGGCAACAATGGACAAATCCATTATGACCATCAAAAGTAAGTGTATGATTTTTTATTATTTCTCATTTCAGCTTCTCTTTGAACACTGAAATATTATTTCAAATCTGAACACTTTCCAAATGAAATAAGATTATTCTTTTTCTTGAAATGTTATTTTGTAACAGGTGAGAAAGTCTTATTTTATTTGGTTATATCTTAAAGTTCTTTCTGTGAGTCACCTCAGATTTCAAACATAAAATGTATTTATTTAACTTAAAATTATATAATACTTTTTTTGTGGGGGGGGTACCAGGGATGGAACTTGGAACTTTGCACTAGCAAGGCAGGTGGTAGCACAACTGAGCTAAATCCCTGGCCCTAAAATTATATACTTTTGAAGGCTTATAGCCTGTCCCTGGTTTTGAGCAATGCTACTTAGTCATGTTTTTTCATCTTTATTAAGAGAGAAATCTTTCAAAACTGAAGTTTAGCTTTGACCAAACTAATGAGCACACAACATATGCCACCATAGTCAACCTTATTTTACTTAACTTGAGGGCTCTGAGTGGCTTATAAAATTTATAAATGTTCAGTGTATTTGTAATAAACATTAAGTATGTACATTGTGTCTTTTCACATATTTATTGTGGAGGATTTAACTTTTAGCCCATCAGTGAACATTATTCATACGTGAAAATGAAAAATTATCCATCCTTCATTTTATTATTTCTTACCTTGATTTTCAACCCTAGTAGTTGATCACAACTTTCTGTGGAGCTGTTTGAATTGGAGGTGTGTGGGCCCTCTCCTTTCAATTCCACCTCAGTTGATTTTGGGATAGAATCTGTGGACTGGTTTTTTTTTTTTCAATACCGGGGATTAAACCTGGGACCTTCACACTGAGCTACATTCCCAGCCTTTTTTTTATTTTTTGTTGTGAGACAAGGACTCATTTAAGCTGCTTAGTTGCCCAGGCTGGGCTTGAGCTTGTGATCATCCTGCCTCAGCCTCTCAGAACATTGGATTATAGGTGTGTGCCATCATGCCTGACTCAGACCTGCATTTTTACAAGCTCCAGGAGGGATTCAGATTCTGCCCTGGGCTAGACGACCACTGCCCTGGTCTCATGTACAATAGTGTATCTTTCCCTTCCCTTCAGCACATGGTAACATTGGACTTCTAATGTTACTTAGAGTTCTGACAGGAAAACCTTGTGTATCACCTTTGTGACCTCTGAGTAAATAACTTGAATTACCTCAAGACTTTGTCATAACTTGATAATTGTTTTAATCTTCTTGAATTTTTAAATATTGAAAAGTTTCTTGTTTGATTTTTATTCTCTCATACTATAGTGATGGTGCCAGTCAAGCTTTAGCAAGTTGCCAGAGGGATTTTCGTAATAAACCTTATCCTGTCCGGGCAAAGATTATATATTACCAGAAAACACTGACAGTAAGTAACAGTAATCAAACGAACAGTATTCTAGCATGACTTTTGTTTTTGAATTCTTGGTATGTGGATATTATTCACATGCTCATCCGTGTTTCCCTAAGAAGATAGACATAGCTTCAAAGCCTGGCTTACATGGGCATCTATTCCAAAACCTTGCTGGTAGGTCAGCAAATGTTTATGTACCCCACTTTATGGCATATATTATATACATATCCACATCTCTGAATATAGACACAGCTAAGACAAAGGTCATTTTTCCTAGACAACTTTTAGTCTAGTGGGGGAGATGTGTAGAATTATGTTGTATAGCAAAGACTGTATAACAAGCATCATTAAAGGAATCATGGGGTTGGAATCCTGTAACCTTGTAGGTCAGAGAGGGGAAAGGTCAGGAACGGCTTCTCAGTTGAGCTGCACCTTAAAGCAAGGATCATGAAGTTTGGGAGTAGGGAATTGTGCGTGTGTGCGTGTGTGTGTGTGTGTGTGTGTGTGTGTGTGTGTTTGTGTTTTCTGGGCACAGAAAGGCAGAAGACCTTGAAAGAAGTTGAGATATTTGAGAAAGGCAAGTAGTTTGATATGGCTTGAAGATAGAGAGGATCTGGGGGAAATGAGGTTGCAAGGTTGGCAGTAACAGTCTTGCACAGAGTATCCTGTAGTTCATCCTATAAGGAACTTATAAGAAAGTTTAGAATTTTAAATAGAAACTGAAATTGTCTGATTTGTAGACTCCTTGCCTCTTAAAGTACCACACTTTGTGCTTTGTACTTTATGTGCAGTTTTCAGATAGCACTATAGGGTTGGCCTCTCCATTTTGAGCATGGGGAAATTGAATATAGGAGATTATAAGTAACTTGAACAGTGTCATATTAAATAACCAGCAAGACTGATCGATCCCAGTTCCATCATAGCCACAAAACCCTACTTGTAGTCTGAAGACAGAAGTGATGACAGAAGGATGATAGAGGAATGATGAACTGGTGGAGACTTGAGGACTTAGCTCTTATTTGGTTGCAGTTGGGAGTGAATATAGTCATGAGATCAAAGAGAATTCCTGAATTTCTGCCCAGTTGGACAGCTAATAGGTACAGTTCATAGCAGAAAAGCAACACCGGTTTGTATTTATTTGTTTGGAGAACATGAAAAACAGGTGCTGCTCATGAGCTCAGTTGTAGATAAATTGAATTTAGGGTAACATACAGGTGGCTGGTGAAATAACTAAGATCACTAATGCATTGTAAACTTTGTTTCTATGAATTTTGTTTTGGTACCGGGGATTGAACTCGGTACCTTTGTGAGGCAGGTGCCAGAACCACTGAGCTAAATCCCCAGCTCCTAAACTTTGTTTCTAAAGATGTCAATTATTTGGAATAATGCTTAAAAGTAAGAAATGTATTTGTGAATTTTTCCCCTAAGTTATGAGTTAGCCTTACACTACTATCTATGGAACTCCAGGAAATACAGTTCTTCGGAAAACTTCATACTGGCTTAGTGTTGAATTCCAAGTTAATTTAGAAATCTCCTAATAGAGGAGGTGTCCAGTCTGATTGACTTGGGTGTGAGTTTCCCTGTAATTGTTATTCATCCTGTATATTTTTATTAAAGTAGTCAATAAGTCATGCTTACCTTCATGTGGTAAAGCCCAGATACCAGCCATGGTGAGCAGAGATACACAACTCAAAGACACAGGGAAGCTACCTACTCAACACAGTGAGGCATCCACCAGCATTTCTCCAAATAATAGCCTGCAAAATGCACTCTCAAAAAAAGGGGTCCATAGTTAGATGAGATGGGTACTACTGTGAGGACTAGCATAGTAAAGATTCCTTTATGAAGGATCCTATATAAAGAAAGGATAAATAAACCTTTAGTAGTCTCACATCCTTTGGATTTACTTGGCCTTGGAATTCATTATTGCCTGTTATTTGTGAATGACTAGAGCAGGTGGTGTGAAGTGCACACATTAGAGAGCCTTGCTGGACACGTGAATGCCGCGTAATGGTTCTAGCCTGTGCGTGTTTGCTCAGTCTGTTGTCCCCTCCTGTGATACTCTCCTTTTGCCTCTCTGCTTGACAGAGTCATCAGCTTTGAACATACTGCTCCAGATTAATTTTCCATCTAATTTCCCAAATGCCAACTTATAATGATGTGTTTCTCCTGAACTATTCTATTTTTTTTTCTCTAATGCCTTTTGCCCTTTAAAATATGTTGTGTCAAATTACTAGTTAAGTATATATTTGTAGGTCTTTGCTAGCAATATGATTGTACCTTTCTCAGGGTAGACATTGTATCCTATAATTTGCCCATGTTAACTACTGAAGAAACGTTTATAACTATTATTTGTACCCTCAGCTTGACTGAGTTGTTTTCAGATTGAGAGGAAAAAAAAAGATGTTGAAAGCAAGAACTGCTGTTGAAGGAAATATGATCAAAACAAGAGTTTAAGTATTATACATGTTTTTTAAATGTACTTAACAGTGAGTTGAAACTACAGGTGAAGAAGGAAAGTCATCAATGATCTCATAAAGAAGTATTACTGGCATAAATCAGTGGACATCAGCTTTACAATTACAGACTAACATTTCTCTCAATACAATGAATATGTTATACCCTTTTTAAAAAAAATTGGAGTTGGACAGTAAAATTTTTTTCTTTTAAGAGTAGGAAAAATTTATTGGGAGAAAGAAAGCTTCTGCCTAAGAGAGACAGAAGCGGGACCAGAAAGTGGGTTGCCCGCCCACCCCATGGTTCAAAGATGTTTTATACAGCAAAGCCATGTGGTAAAGTGAGTACAAACTGGGACAAAACTATAAGACCCAAAGGAATTTTACAAGGTGGGCATGAGGTGGGACAAAACTATGAACAACCAATAAGATTACAAGTATAGAGAGGAAGAGGCTTCCAGGTCGATGTGCCACTGCTCCCAGCACAGAGGAAAAGGCTTCTGGGTTGGTGTGGCACCACTCCCAGGGTAGAGGAGGAGCCTTCAGGGTCAATATGCCACTGCTCCCAGCAAAGAGGAGGAGGCTTCAGGGTCAACATGCCACTGCTCCCAGTGTAGAGGAGGAGGCTTCAGGGTCGACATGTCACCGATCCCAGCACAGAGCAAGAGACTTCAGGGTCAATGTGCCACTGCTCCCAGCGAAGAGGAGGATTCCAGGTCGATGTGCCACTGCACTCAGCGTAGAGTTGGAGGCTTCAGGGTTGATGTGCCACCACTCTCAGCACAGAGGAGGAGGCTTCCGGGTTGACTGCCACCACTCTCAGCATAGAGGAGGAGGCTTCTGAACCAATGTGCCAATGCTCCTAGCACAGAGGAGGCTTCCAGGTCGATGTGCCACCGCTCCTAGCACAGAGGAGGTGAGGCGTGCAGGCAACAGCAGCATCCCCACTGCATGCCCCCCTGTTGAAATGAGAACACACGTAAACAAGCCTCAAAACCAGACTTCCAGATCACTTACAGCAACCACAAAGGGAAACAAGATGGAACACTCTGATACTCAACCAACTGGACTCCCTAAACTGGAAACAAAAGGGGATCTGGAAAAAATGAAATCAGAAATCATTTCTCACATAACAGCAGAGATTGTGCCCATAGTGCAAGACATGATTAATATCTAGAGAGGACCTGAGGAACATGATACAATCCCAACATAGGAAACAAATGGAATCCAT